TAAATTAAACCAAAATTACTCAAACTAAATATTTTACAACAACGAAACAGGAAACAAAGTTTCCAGAGTGGAAATAATGGACGCTGTTCAGTGATGTGGGAGAACCACGTGTCGTTATCCTACACGCCTGGGTTCAGTAGTCGGCTACAGACTTGAGCTTTGTGTTTAGTGTACAGATTCAAGACTGACATCAGGTTTTCTCATTTAAGAAACAATATTTCTCAAAAAGCTTCAGGCTTCAACCTTTTAAGGAAAAGTTCATCTGCTGTCACCATTAGAAAAGGCCCGATTTGCAGACGTATCAAAACATACAAATCAGGTTAAGCATTGGGAATACGTGAGTTCAATTCTTCACAAGTGATTAATGCGTTTGCCTATGCGTGACCGCATTCTTGGCGATCGCGCTGCTAATGCACAGCAAAGAGCTTCACAGCGTGTTAAGGAAGTCTGTAAGAGCTTTGTGCCAAGTGTCTGGGTCGTCCAGGTAACAGGGGTGGCCTGCTCCCTTCATCACCACCACTTTGTGATTGGCCAGATTGCTCAGGTTACGGAGCGACACCTCCCCGAGCTGATGGTCCTGGTCACCGTAAACGATCAGCGATGGGACCTGGACACAAAAATCACAACAGTAATGAAAAAAAGAGCCCTTTGCAGAGTGATTTCCACTGTCCTTTTTCTCGCATTTGAAAATGTGTCTCTCTTTTATTTGTTTTTAAATTCAAACCCATAGCTAAAGGGATTTTGCAGATGTCCTAAATTTCACCTCAAGCTGGGAAAAAAAAGGAAAGAAGGAAATCAAAACAAGTCCAGTGAAAAGCTAAGACTAAAAGATTTTGGGTGTAACAGATTTATGTGTCTAGTAGTCAATAAGAATTATAAAAGTGAGAAAAACTACAGTCTTAGTTTTTCCAGCCTGAGAAGAGACGTTCAGATCTGTCATCTTATTAAAAAAAAAAATACAGCAATATGTACAAACTCTATTACAAGTAAAAGGTTATAAAAAGCATTTATTTTTGTACCATTTTTTTAAACTGGTACAAAACATCGATCAGATTACTTCATCAGAAAACCTGAAGAACTTGTGAATACAACTTAATCGTTTCCCACTCTCCCACATCGTCACCGCATTAAAGTTCCGAACCCTCATTGCAGAAATACACATGAATGCAGTTACTCCGGTTTAGTTATTTTAGTTGTAACACACTTTGACACTTAATGACAGCATAAATGTTTGTTTTATGCTTTTTTATCATCAGTAAGTTGCATTCATTACTCTATTGTCCATCTTTTGCGTTACTCTGCTGCTCCGATGTCTCTTCGTTTGCTAAGAGATTGCTGAAAGTGGAGATACAAATACAGAGGCCTGTAACAACCTGTCACAAAAGGGACAGAGGAGCAGGTTGTTTGTATCAAGCGCAGAGACCCTTTGGGTTTTTAATGATTTCAGAATCAGAATCAGAATCAGAAAGGGTTTTATTGCCAAATGTTGAGCAGGTTTACAACATTAGGAAATTGCTGCGGTACTTAGCGCAAACATACTGTCAGAACCAGATTTGCTCTGCTCCCTGGGTTGACCAGCTTCTTTGTTTTCTAATCTCCATCTTATTTCTAAAATAGCTAAATTTCATTTATCTGACTTTTTTTTTCTTAAAATCTTTAGGATCTTTCTTGTAAAGTAAAACTTGGTCACTTAACATTCCCCGTTAGCTGTTTAACTGTTATTTATAAAACCAACAGTGTGCCTTTCAAAACACTTAATAAAAGATTAAATATGATATCCGAAAGTATTCTCCGCAAAACATCCTTTAAAACTAAAAGCACTCATTATACAGAAAAACTGCTCCTGTTCGTGCCAATCTTCTTGCTGCATTATAATTGCTGAGACTTTAATGTGTGAGCTGAGTCTTTAGAATATTGTTTAGATTAAAATAAAAAAAGAATGTACAACTTCTGCATTTAAACTGTTTATAAAGGAAAGCAAATTTTGTTAAGGTAAGTGCTTGTTCTAAATAAGTAAATTAGACAAATCACTTTTCAGGCTAATGTGCCTACAATTGATTTGCCATTAAGACATTTCTGAGCTGGATGAAAGCCAATGGCATCTGTGCAGGTAAAGTCACTGTCTCTTTTAAAAAGAAGAGTTGGAAAATTGGATGATATTCACAGCTGCTCAAGTTATCCTTTAAAAAAGGAAATGACAGTGCATATACTATACCAAAAAAAAAACTTTTGCAGGAGAGGAACCTACAAAGGAATATCAAGCAGAGGCATATTCACACACACAGACTCTCTACCTTTACGCTCTGGTACTGCTCCGCTGTGAATTTGTCCGTACAGATGGGAGCGACAGGGATGTAGGCTCGCACCAGAGCCTGGTGCTCGAGGAGGAAGGGCAGGGAATACATTCCGCTAAGGGATGGGCTGATCACCACCGCCGGGGTTAGATTCAGCTGCTCACACACCTCTTTGAGGAAACCTGCAGGGGCGGGTGTTCCCACTGCCGCCGGGGCTTTGGCCGATTTAGACCGACCAAGTTCTGTGGAGAGAGGGGAGGCATGAGAAAAGAAGAGGAGGAGAGGAGTAAGGTTTGTTGATGGAGACTGACTTATTAACGTAATTACTGTCCCCAAGGCAAACATTTTCTTTTGGGCCCATGCTGCCTCAGTGATCTATATAAATTCTAGAGTGCCTGCCAGATCATCACTAGAGGCAGTCAAAGCATGAGACAAAAATACCAGATTCTAAAAACAAGCAGAACACGGGCTGTAACAATGATTCATGGAGACAATTCAGTTCACTTCAAATTTGAGCCCCCATGCACATTTGACTTTCCAAACAAAGCCAAAGTCCTGATGCCAACTGCAAATACATATCCATAAATATAATGCAAAAAGTTAAAGTTTCACCTATGAAAATAGGTAAAACGACAGGACACAGCTAGCTTAAAAAAAGCTCTCATAAAAAGTTTATAATATAAACAACAATAAGAAAGTTAAGAAACAGAGTTTTTGAGACTTCTAAATCATCACTGTGATTTTTATTTTTTTTGAAAAACTTAAATTTTAAAAATACAATTTTTAAGCAATAAATTGCAAAAAAAAATTAAAACAAGTTATAACTCCATATCCAACCTGATATTTAATTAATATGTTTGTTTTTCCATTTTCAGAAGGGTTAGCATAGGGCCACACAATTGGGTATTACCGTCAATAGTCCAAGCCCAATTTAATAGTTGCGAGCATTCAAAACAGCGAAGAGCCAAAAGTTTGACCCTGAGACTTTTAGGAGCTCTTTATGTGCCGGTGGCAGCCTGTTGCCTTGCTGCGCTTCATTGGTCATGCTGACTTTTCAGTTAAAAGCTGAGTGACGGAAGGAGATGGTGTTTGTTCCCTGACAAACGCACCTGGCAGGTCGATGGCGACCGCGCGGCAACCTGCTTTGGCCAGCATCTCCAGAGTGCCGATGCTGAGCCAGTTTTCTGAAGAGAAACGTATGCCGTGAAGAAGCAAAACCGACACTTTTGCTTCTCCTGTCACAGGTTCGCTTTGTCTGTAAAACAGTGGCGCGTTGCAGCTCTCCACCTGCACTGTACCCTCCGTCATTTTAACAGCTGCCATCCTGAACAACAACAGAAGAAAGAGAAAGCAGTTATTTCACATGGTTTTCCACACTGTTATACCTCCCATTTTTCCTTCTCTTTAACAATATTAGTTCCTTCAGGTGGAAAACTCAATCATCTTCTATGCCGCCAGTTTCTGTGAAGCGCTTCTCTTGTCTCTTGACAGAATTAAAGATCACTCCAAGAGAGGACCATATTTCTTTGGAGAGAGAGAAAGTCTTGTGGAGATGCTAAAAAATAAAATTCCCAAACATAATGGGTGTACACCATAAAAATGCAATGATGTAACTTCATTTGCTTTGTTTTCCTTACAAAGTGCAAGCACAGAAAGATAAACTTCATGTAACTTTATGTAACATTTTTCAGCACAATAATGATCCCAATAATGAACACACTGTCAGTCTGGTAAAAGCATATCTGATACTATTATTCAGACTATCCACAGAGCTCAGACTTCAATATTATCGAAGCAGTGTGAGATCATCACGATCGAGAGAGAACAGAACAAAAGCCGACATCAAAAGAAAAGCTTTGAATGTCATTCAAGAAGCCTGGAGAACTATTAATAGACTATTTAAAGAAATTACAAGAGAGCTTGGCTAACAGAGTACAAGCTGTGCTGATTAATAAAGGTGGTCATACTAAATATTAATATGGCCAATTAGAATAGTAAAAACTCTGTTTTATATATGATGAGGCTGATAATCTGTATTTCTTTGTATGTTTTCACACGTTTCTGTAAATTACTGCACCTTTTCCCACATTTTCAACCAAAATATAGAAGACCAAAAGTTTTGCACAGCAATGCAACATTTTTCCCCTCTCCGTTGATAAATATGGTGATTATTTAACTGAAAATATAATAAACTAATTTGAAATACTATAAAATCAATGGGATTTTTGCTTTATTTATTTTTTTACTTTAAACACTTTGTAACATGAGTTTTAATGAAAGACATAACTGCCTGTAACTGCATCACGTGCCTACAAATGTGGTTATGTTGCCTCTTCATGTTCATGTTATATGTTTTGTTACATTTCCGTAGCAACAACCCCCAATTACTCATCGCTCCACCCCTTTTTAATCCACTGACCGTGAATCAGAAAGTCCGATGACAGGTTTACTGCTCCACGCTTACTACGTACTTATTAGTCCACCGTTTTGTTGCTGCGAGTTTGTCCACGATCCCCGTGCTTTCAAAGATCAGCGTGGACTTAATCGGATGTTCCACGGACGTGTAATCAGCAGACAGAAGTGTGTGCGCAGCTGCGGGTTAAACAAGTCGGATCAAAGTCCAGATTAGATCTTTTTTATTTTACATCGAACTCGCCTATCTAGGTGCTTTTTACTCATCATTCAAAACACACGTGGCGACAGAATAACAACCCCCTCCTTCCCTTTTCTTACCCGACTGTGAATCCCCGATGATTAATGGTGCAAAACAGAGAAAGTAGACAGGTTCTTGAACCAGCTGCAGCTTAGCTTCAGTTTATCTCCCGGAAAACAAGAGAAAGAGAAAAAACCATTGCAAATCGCCCTACTGACGTCTAGCGTTTGTGGCGAGAATTGCGTTCATTGTGGCAGAAAAAAAATTCCCAGTTTTTTTTTTTTCCAGGATATTGAGCGTAATCCTGATGCAAATATTTATATATCTGAGGGGCATGAAGAAGGTTCATGAACAAGGACCAATGTGCCACTCCTCATCAATGATTAATACATGTATTGATCGGCTGTGTTTTGGGGATTAGGGCCACTGTTTGAGCAAAGGCGCGACGCTGGCGTGTGGGTGGTCGTGATTTAGACTTTTTGTGTGGATGTTTAACATCGTGCTGAGCTTCTGGGGGTATTTTTCTGCCTGTCAGGTCGAGCTGTTCGTTGTTTGAAGTTGACAACGGCATCAAAAGAGAGGCGATTTTAGAGCAGAGATCTCGTTTTGACCCCCATAACGTGATTATAATAGTTTTATTTTCCACCGATTCAAACAATGAAACCGTTTCTGCAGTGCATTCTCCTGACTGTCGGAGTGGTCACTGGTAAGTTTGATTAATTTCTTAGTTATTCTGTCTGCTTTCATTATTTTTGGTTGTTTAAATCTATTTGGTTAAAGATGATGAGGCCTATTTACAGGCTGAGCACTTTCAAAACAAATAAACTATTTTAAAAGACAGCTATTTTCATTTTGACAGCACCACTATCAGTATGTGATGGATTTTTATCATTTCATTAGTGTATACTGGCAGTATCTGTGTTAATGGGGGCCTGTTTGAGTTACCAGTTGTTTAACTGTTGCTGTTCAAACTTTTTCTGGATATCTGCTGTCTCAAACTAGCAGCAGAGCGTTGGTCCAAAGGTTATATGTGTCCAGGCTCCTGCCCAAATATTCCATGTGGTGCCACTGCTCTCCAGTTAAAACCAGGACTAAACAGATGCAGATACTGCATGGTCCCCACATCAGTCTGTAAGCATTATGTTTGTGGTTTTGTTATACATGAACAGGGTACCGCAGTCCTCTGAATGACTTCCAGCGCTCAGAGGGCCGAGAGCTCGTTCCTACCTCCTGGAACTCTGCTCGAGTGCAGATTTTACCAGGCCTGAACCTTGAGGACTGTGCCACACGCTGCTCACAGTCACTGGACTGCAGGTAAACAACACACTTAAACTATTTAAAGATTACGGTTTGCAAAAGGGCTTTGCTTATAAATTGGCCAAGAACTTAAAACATATTCTCATAATAGATATGGATGTCATTGTCACTTTGGGGATTTGGAATTGGGTGAAATTTTTTTTTGATATATTTTGAATTCTCTCTAATTCACACAGGGTCAAAAGTATACACCCCCATTAATAGTTAGTAAATAGAAGGTGCTTCTGATTGAAGTGCAACTTGGCAAGTTGCACTTCAATCAGAAGCTTTTTTTGTTTTTTTGCCATCAACAAGCTTCTGGGCGCTAGTTTAGCTCAGTGGGTTAGCTTCTGGCATAATTCTGGATCGATATTTGACCACTGTTCTTGGCATAAATGTTGGAGTTCATTTAGCTGACTTCTTGGTACGGCCAAGGCTTTTGATTTCCTTAGGGATTATTAAAGTATTCTGATTCTGATTAAGCATAGTGCACAAATTTTCAGTAGGGTTAACATCAAGGCTTTGGAAAGTCCATTCCAGAAGCTTAACGGAGCCATTGCCAAACAACTGCAGATTCTAAGATCATCAGTTTAAACAATTGCACATAAGTACAAGCTTTTCTGATGTGTCACAATTTTCCTAAGGTCCAGAACAATCTTATCCTTAGATGAAAGGAAATTAGTTAGGATGTTCAGAAGCAACCCAGGAACCGCCAAGAACACCTGACTCACTGTTCACAGTTATATCGCCAAGGACTGAAAGAGTGTCAACCAAGAAAGAAGCCCCCGTTTCAAAATTGACGCTTTCATGCTGACTGAAATGTGCAGCTTTCCATACAGACAAGCCAAATGCCTTCTCGATTGAAGTTTTATGGTTAGGTGATACAGAAATTTAGCTGTTTGGCTAGTATGACAAAGAGGAGAAGGTGGTGCTAGTATCATCCTCTGGTGCTGTTTTGCTGCCAGTACAACTGACACATTGCAAAAAGTGGATGGAATAATGAAAAAGGCAGACTACTTCCAAATTCTTCAGCTCAAATTAGCAACTAGATGGTTGAAATTACCAGCAGGACAAACAAATTTTTTTGAAGGATAAAGCAGGCTGACATTAAACTTCTGGAATGTTTTTCCACAACAAAGTCCTGACCTCCTGGACTATAAAAATTTGTGGACTATGCTTAAAAGCTGGATCCGTGCCAAGAAACCAACCAACCATTCTGAATGAGCTCTACCAGTTCTACCAAGCAGAGTGGTCAAATATTCAGCCAGAATTGTGCGAGAAACTTGTTGATGGAAACCAAAAGCATCTGGTTGAGGTGCAACTTGCTAAGGGACATTCCACCAAATATTAATGGACTCGGGGCTTTGAGAAAATCTAAAGTCAATTAAAACCTGTGCACCCAATTCTTGTTTTTTAAAGTCATTAAAGATGTATGCTACACAACCATTCCATCCTGGAATGAATGTCTAGCCTTGTAGATATTTATTAGTAAAAGGCAAGATGATGTGAGGCTTTCCACCACAGAATGAGTCCTTATTCAGTCTGGACTATCAACATTGTCATTGCAGCTTCTTTCCCCATAGTTTTGCCATCTTAAGACTAGAACAGTAGATAATAATGGCGGGCCATTACTATCTACTGATATTAGGTAATTGCCAGCAACATCGACATTTATAAATGGCAATAAATTTAAAAGAAAGAAGAAGAAATTGGAGAAACACTCTTCAAACACATCATATTGCCATTTCATAGTTTCTAAATATGAACTTTCCTGTCTGCAACACGTTTGGAGCACCAGAAACATAACAAACAGTGAATTGTGTCCCTGAAAGAAAACGAAATCAACCGATGTATCAGAATAGTCTTAAATGATTAAATATTGGTATTGATATCAATATTAAAATCTCTATCTTTACCAACCGGGGTCTAGTTAAGACAGCATTTATTTAATAATGCTGACACAGATATATCGGCAATCAGCTGACATGTCATCCCTGCCAGTATATCAGTCGGGCTTTCATTATACTGTCTGTTAAATGTTAAACATAATATTCTTAAAAATAACTTTAAAAGGTTCACTGATTAATTTAAAAACACTTTGAGTTTAAGTTTATCCTCTGAAAGTAAAGATCTTTGACGTGAAAATATTTCTCAACATTAGAGCTTTCAACTATGAGACTCGTCCAGTTGTCACCTGTAAACATCTGCCCTGGGTGGGTGATGGCACCAATGCAGAAGTGAAGAGAAACGTGAACTGTGATCTTTATGAGAAGAAGGGTAAGACTCACATCGGTGATATCACAGAGATCAGTGCTTCCCGTCGATACTGTAACCACTGATTGCTTTTTTTATGCAGTCTATGTAAGGAAGTGCATTGTGGGTAAAGGGGAAGACTATCGAGGCAAAGTGTCCACCACGAGAAGCGGACTCACCTGCCAACAGTGGTGGTCCAAATTTCCTCACGATCACAGGTGAGTTACATCTTCACTGTACTGGAAAAAAAACATTGTGAAGATAAAGTGCTGCATTTCACTTTCAGTTCAGAGGTGAACAACAGCACAGCTCTATTTATAATTATTTTCCAATTGTGGGAGACAGATGAAGAGGTGGGAAATTCACGACGAAGAAACTTTCCTGAATAACCGTGTCTTTCATTTCCCTTAAAGCCAGACTGAAGGCAGAAAGCCAGAGTGCATTACTGCTCATACCCCTTTCACTGTTGTGGTATCTGTAAATTACACTGTTTTTAAGCCTTATTTCCACCAGTGTGGGTGCCTGTTTTCTTCAGAAAAACTGATAAGCAAAATATCATAAGCAGTCTTCAAAGCAAAGTAAGGAGCCAGATCTTTTCTCTGTACCTGACAGCGATTAAATCGTGATGAATATCTGAGTAATAGCCATCAGGTGGCCAGCAGTTCTCTAACTACACCACCGTGAAGGAGGCGTACAGGTGTGCCTGATAAAACTGCAAATTATAGCAGATTTACATGTGATAACCAAAACAAATTTATGTCAGATATGTGTACTCTTCAGCTTGTAAAAACCCACTAATACATCTGTAAGTGTTTAGGCTTGAACCCAGTCACTTTCTGTCATAGTTGTCTGAATCCATTCCCTCGGGCTTAAGAACAGCTGCAGTTTCTATATTATTCATCCACACTAGAAGTTGACACTCCCAGATTAGGGAGTTGTCACTTCAACTGCATTATTTGTTTTATTTTAAACGACCAGTTGTACCAAAGTGTATGACTAACTGAAAAATTCTTTTTTTTTCTCAGGTGGACTCCTACAGCTACCAATGGTCTGGAGCTGAACTACTGCAGGAATCCGGATGGGGATCGGATCGGTCCGTGGTGCTACACCACCGACCCGGAGCGACGCTATGAAAGCTGCAACATTCCCCAATGCAAAGATGGTACATCCCATAAATCACCACACATCATCCTGCTTATCTAAACTGCAAATGTGAGATTTGTAAAGCTTTACGTAAGTTTTATTTCCTCCAAATGTCTCGTAATTAGCACTTTAATTTGGTGGAGCTGGAAAACTTGTTACTCGTTTTTTGGCTTACCTGCTGATAGCAGTGCACTTACAATAGTTACTGTTTCAAGTTGCCTCATGAATAGCTTCAAGTTTCATTCTTTAATTGTGCTTTAAGAAAATTATTCAGCAATTATAGAAGCTGTTAAAAAAAAGAGTGGTGCTTTCTGAATGTGTGTTTATCTTTACTTCAAGCATCTTTCACTTTGTGAGTCATTCTGCTTGCAGAGGTGTGCATCACGTGTAATGGAGAGGACTACAGGGGCCAGGTTGACCACACTGTGAATGGCAGAGAGTGTCAGAGATGGGACCAGCAGTACCCTCACCAACACATCTACCAACCTGAAAAGTATGCAATCATTACTACTGTTTTGTTTGC